GTGTGTGTGTGTGTGTGTGTGCGTGTGTGTGTGTGTGTGTGTGTGTGTGTGTGTGTGTGTGTGTGTGTGTGTGTGTCACCAAGTCAACCGAAAGTTGCATTTCAAAGTCAAACATGGTGCCGGCGTCTCTTGGCTAAATGGTCGCTAGCATTAGCGCAGCATTATTTACAATATGAGCGCACACACACACACACACACACACACACACACACACGCACGCACCAGGAAACGCGAGCTGGGAATTGCGGCTTTGGCGGCTCTCGTCTCGCAGAGAAAACATGGAGAAAGGTCACGGGCGCGCGCTCGTTGTCGCCGATGTCGCCGAGTCCTCAGCTGGCAACGAACGGTAGAAAATGAGTCCGGGCGGCTTCCGTGGAACGGGATCGCTCTGACGGCGACGGCGATTTCAGGGCGGGAGATAGGATCCGCATCGTGGCCGCTTGCTGTTCATTGCCTACGTCGGCATTCGGGCTGAGGCGAGCAAACGAAGGCGGCGCCGTGGCATTGCTCAAAGTCCACCGCCTCGAATTCTATTTGCTGTACGTTTACTCTGGCAGGAAACCGAAAGTGAGCGCGGCAATTAACAAACAACCAAAAAACCCTCGTATTTTTCTTTTTCTATCTGACGTTGGTGCCTGCAAGTCAAAGCGAAACCCAAAAACCCCCCAAAGATGGATGGCTCACATGCTCAAGAGTCACGTCCCCGCACTGTGTTGGTGTGTCCAACGGGAGAGGGGGAGCGCCGCCGCGGCCGTACCGGCGGCCATGAAAGAGAACCTCACGCTCCTGCAAACCACGTCGCGCTCCATTAGCTTCTGCCGTCATAACAGTGCGTGCGGCGTCTCACGATCACTGCCGAGGATCGTAGCCACCGGCCACGAGCGGGCCCGCCGCGACGACGGGACCCGCGGGAGGACATTTGGGGGGGGGGAAATTGGAAGTTGATAACGCATCAAACGTCCGTGTGGGGTTTCCTTGGTGCTGTCCTTGCACGTTTTGACCGTGCCCAACATGAAGCGATTGGTGAAAACCCAGGCAGGTGTTCGTTCGGTGAGAACCAGGACAAGGCGGAGCGGGAGGTCAACTGTTTATTTTGCCGCACTCGACGGCTTGTTTTCCGTCTCTGCGGGCACAAGTAGACGCCCACCGGTGGTGCCCTTTTGGCCTAAGGTGAGAAAAGCACCCTTTGCCCTTTGCCCGCGTTCATCGGGAGTGGAAAAAAAAAAAAAAAAAAAAAGAACACGCCCCCCCCGTGTCATCACTTCCCCCCAAAAGTGCGGGGACATCAGGCGGCCATTGGAGTTCCATCGTCACGACAACGGGCAAACGCAATGTTGACGAGTCAAGCGAGTCTCAATTTGGTTTTCTCTCACTGGGCTATTTTTATTTGGTGGCGTCCACCTGCCGTTTTCAAGCCCATTTGCTAGTCTAAAGCGGCATGTAAATGCTATGGAAAAAAGGCTTTGTGCTCCGCGGCGGCCCCCGAGGAAAAGCCGCCGTGTTATTCCTGCCCGGTTTGTTGTCTTTTGCCCACGATTCGGCGCTCTTTTTTTAGAGGGCGCCGGCTCGCAGCTGCCGCCGCCCGACCGCGGCCGCCGCCGCCGCGTGAGCCGTCATTTTCCTAAAGCGCCGATAAATGGCCGCCGCACCTGGCCCGCGCTCACTCGAGTCAACGGACGACGTGCCCGAGTTCAAAGTGGGGGGGGGCCCGCCTTTGCATAGGCCCGCGAGAGGCGACAAACGCGACGGCTAAATTTAGCTTCTTCTTTGGCTTTGAGCCGCCGTCCCCGGGCTCGGTTCCCTACTCCTTCGTGTCAAACCCCCGGAAACGGCAAAAAGGACTCCCGAGGCGGCTTCCGGCCACAAACGGCAGGCGGGCGCCATCGCTTTGCCGAGACTTTATTTTTTTTGCAGGTCTGCCGACGATGCGGACGGCGACCCGATTTCACGTGGCCAAGCGAAGCCCGCCTCGGGGGCCGAACCCCGAGAGACTCGCTTTGGCGCTGACCTCGAGACTCGGCGGTCGTGCCCCACCCGCATCCGGGGTCATCGCTCTCTCTCTCGTCGATGTACTTGCGACTCGGGTAGCCGTTGTCGAAAAAGACGTCCAATCAAACCCGGAGGAGGGGTCGCGCCATTTTGAAAGGAGCGCCGGAAATGTACCGACGTGGCCGCCGCGACCCCGGATGGCAGACGCCGGCTGCCCCTTTGGCCGCAACCATGGCTTCTCCGCGCGTTTTTGCGGCTGCAAACGGGCAAATTCCACATCGCCAACTTAAAGGGTCTGATTGAGTTGCCCCTTCCGTACGGAGTCTTCAAAGGTCACGATGGGAACGGCGGTCCCGCCCGGCCGGCCGGGCAGGCGCGGGACTTCCCAAGACCGGAAAGGCGGCAGACGGAGCCCCGCGGGT